TAGTATAGTTTGTTAATTTTTATATAATCATTTAATATTTCATAATTTAATTAGTTATGGTAAAAATGTATTATGTAAGATTATAGATTTACAAATTTATTGTGAATAATTTATTATTGTTAAGATCAACAAATTAAAAATACAAACTTCAAGATTTCTGGCCATTTATTAATTTCAATACGATAAAAATAACATTTCACTAAGATTATGTGATTCGAGTTCTATTAAAAAAATAAGCAATGGATAACCAAGAAGAAAAAAACTACATCATTAACTATCACTTATTGAAGATTTACAAAATGTATCATTTATTTTATCCAAAAAACAAACCTGGCTTAAAAATTGGAAAGTATAACATAAACTATTATGCTATTAAACCATTTCTATTGTTTCTTGATTTAATAGTATTTGTAAGCTGTTTTATTGGGTTTTACTTTGTGTTTAATGATTTGTACGCACTTTTTCAAATATCAGTATCATTCCTATGTGCTTTTACCAGAATTTTCAAATCTATAAGACTTATGCGGAAATTTGATGAACTTTGGAAGTTATTTGATGTGATGAGAGATGATTTTTTATCACATAATTGTCACAGAAAAGATATATTTCAGCATTATAAGAAAAAATGCATAGTAATGATAAATATTTATGCATTGATATGGTTCACAGCTCTTATTATATGGATTTTAAATCCTTTAATGATGAAAGAGGTCTCTGTTGAAAATCGACAAGGCAATTTTGTAATTTATAGAAATACTCCGCTCCAAATATTTTTTTCTATTATGTCGTATGAACAATACGAAAAAATGTACGCATTCATTTATTTAATAGAATCAGCTGTTCTTGTGAATTCAGTTTTAGACATTTTACTATATGACATTACTGTAATTGAGCTATGCTGGATGTTATCTGCACAATTAAAAATTATTGCTTCTAAATATGAGAATTTTGGCTATCAACATACAAACAATGGTAAATATATAATTAATAATTTTTCACATTGAATAAATTAATACTTTATTTATTAATTTTTATTTGAAGAAGAATCAAATAATAACAGTTCTGTCGAAAATTTTAGGAATATAATTGTAAATCACATAATAATTATTACGTAAGTTGTAGTTTTTAATAATAACATTTGTACATTTTTTTCTTTTAAATAAATTCATCTTAAATTAAGTTTTACGGTGAAATTGGAGACGAATCATTGACTAATTATTCAATATTTTAAATCTTTTAGCATTCTATATCAAACTTATATATTTTGAAAATGAAAATGAAATCTTAGATAGTATATCTAATAATAAAAACCACTAAAAATCCTCAAATAATTATTTTTTATTTTTATTATTTAATTTATTTATATATTTATTATTGTTTATAAAGGATTTTTGTATTTTTTTTCGGTTTTGATTTTGATAACCGTTTTCCATTTTTCCATGTAGGAACAATAGCAGTTTAATTCTTATATGAATTTTTGAATTGTATTTTACATTTATTACGTATATGCAAAAATAGATTGTCTGTCAAAAAGTAATTAAAAAATTATAACTATTTAAATTTTGCACATAATGCTGTTATCAGGCCTTACGCACTTCATTAATACTTTTCCTAATGTAGTTTTTGTGTACAATTCATAATGAGGAAAAGCTGAAATTGAGAGAACCTATTTTTAAGATTATAATTTTGGAAATTTGGAAGCCTCTACTTCTCTCTTTTTATCTTTAAGTTTATTGTTTTATATTTGATTTTGTCTAAATACCGACATGATACTTTTCATACTAAATAGAACATGAAACAAAGGGGCAAATGTAAGTTCCTATATGAAGTTAAACAGATAGAAATGTATAGAAGTTAGTTTCTACACTGCTCTATTTATTAAATATGTTAGTTTCTATTCGTTTTTTATTTAAGATACGTTAATACCTACACGTGATTAAATTTCGGATACGTTAATAATTGCACAAAAAATAAATTCAATATACATTTACATTTACTTAATTATATTGTAATGTCGATTTGTTATTTATAGAATTGCTAAATGATTCTGAGCTCCATTTAATTATATTTGCAAGAACTTCACCAAGGAGGCTATTATGAGATTTTATGTCTTCTAACAAAGTGTATTACTTTTTATTGTTATGATTCAAAGTTTTGAATAGGGGGGTTGTATTATTAATAACACTAGTTTACGACAAAATTGATCTATTACTTATAATAATCATTTTTTATGTAAAATCGTCCACTGAGTCCGAAAATGAAGTCCAAAATACAAAAAGTAGAACAGTTTTTGAGTTATTGCGATATTAACGTTTTTCGTGGGCCGCGAAAAAGTGTTTTCATTATATTCTAAATATCTTTAATTGCATTCAACCGATTTTCATTTTTTTTACATAAAATTTAACGATATTAAATAACCTATAACTTTTATCTTAAACAATTTTTTATGACTTTTTTCTCGTTTGATATTTACGAATTTACCTCTGAATTTTTATCATTTTTTTCAAAATGTCAGAAAAAATTCAGAGTTTTACGTAAAATACACCAATAAAAAATAAATTTATCAACAATATACTCAATAGACATTATACTCTAATACATAACAAAGAAAATGATACATTATTTTGTAATATTGATAAAAAAATGAAGAAGTTATGTGCGATTGAAAAATAAAACAAATTTCCTAATATCAGAGTTTTTTTATTCAATGATTTAATTTTGTAAAATATAGAAAAAAATATTGAAAAATATTACTTAATGATTAATTGCGTAGTTTTACAATTTTCTATTGAATTTCTATTATCTTTCCTAACCTAGGTATTAATATTGGTCTAGTTTCATTCATAGATCCATTTAAAAAAAAAAAAAAATTTTCCAAGTCCTTTTGTTTTTAAGTTTATCTGTTAAAACCCCTTATTGTTGAACAAGAAATAATTTTGAATATCGTCGTTTTGTAGATTTACCTTTTTTTTTGCCACCCTTCTTCCGATGTAGATTCTTTTTTTTTTCATAATATTGTAAGCAAATGCGTGATTGGCCACAACCTTTCTCACTATTGGGGTTGTCTATAGAGCACCCAAATAAATTAACAGGTTTATTACAATTAAAACAGCAGTGCAGTCCTGTTGGATAGTCACTATTTGAGCAAGGAAGGCACAAATTATATTTATTTTTCTGTACATTTATTTTCATTTATNCATTTGAGCAAGGAAGGCACAAATGATATTTATTTTTCTGTACATTTATTTTCATTTATTATTCTAGTGTCAGTCTTAAGCTCAAGAATTTTCTTATATGAGGGTGTTATGAGTTCAAGTGGAAAAACATTTACCTAAGAGTAAGACCTCCAAAGATTACCGTTTCCGATCAATCATTAGCACTTATGATTACTTAAATGTATGCTACAATTTGTTACGGACAAATAAAAAAGAGAATTTGCCATTATGTTACATACGAAATTATGTCAATCATTTTGTTCGCATGGTGGCTGGTTGGAAACCGTTAATGAGGTCTAAGTTTCCGAGAGCTAAAGAATTGTATGTTAGATCAATAACCCTATTGATGTATTGCAATATTTGAGAAGAAACAAAACGTATACTACAAGTATTTTCAGAATAACATATATCAAGTTGATGGTCCCCTTTTTTAAGATGTCGATAATCGCACAGAAACAATGTGCTACCAGTAAAAAATATTTACAAGAACTAATAGCAAATAAATCATATAGAAATATATAGAAGTGATTGATGAAAATTTTTTGGAAAATAGTATTGTTGAAGATGACATCTAGGAAAGTGATGATATTAATAACGAAATGGACTGTAGTTTTATGTCATGGACTGCTAAAATTGCAGAAAATTGCAAAAAAGAAGTGGAAATGATGGAAGGTCAGTTTGATAATGCCAAGACNAAAAGAAGTGAAAATAATGTAAGGTCAGTTTGATAATGCCAAGACTTGCCAGAATTAGTCCCAAATAATATCAATAGTATAATCAAACAATATCAAAAGTATTGAAATAAATATATAAACAGTATGTTAATTGTTTTATAAAGATTTAACGTGTATATATTACTACGAGAATAATCTAATTTTTAAATTAGATTGCACTCTTAGTGATTGAACCCAATAAATTATTTAACAACATACATTTTTAGAATAAATTTTACAAATGCAGCTGCTGGGATAACGTTACTCTGGCATCCGGAGAAAAAAAACTATTTTCTTGGGGTAGAGGGGTCTACAAAAATTAATTTTATTTGTACAAAATTGTATATAATACTTACTGGTTTTGATTTTGGTTCCCTGAANTATAATACTTACTGGTTTTGATTTTGGTTCCCTGAATGATAAAATAATTCTGACATAAGAAACAAAAAGTTTTCCATAGACTGGATTAACTGTATTACAAGAGGTGATCCCATCCTAATATATTTTTATTTTATGATTATTCAGAAGAAATGGCATCGCTTATTTTTTTTAACTAATTTTTATATAAAATTGTTGTAGGAAAATTANATTTATTTTTTTTAACTAATTTTTATATCATATTGTTGTAGGAAAATGAAACATTTTTATGAATTATTCAAACCTATTACAATAGTTCAAATGGGAATAATGTCTAATGTTTGTATTGCATTAACTTTTTTATGTGTTTTGGTGAGACTCATATATATTTATTTTAAAAGTATTACAAAATTTAAATAAAATATACCAAAATAAATCATATAATGGATCCATTTCATCATAAAACCAATGATGGATCTATGAAATAGACAATTTAATAGAGTTTAAGATAATTCAGGTCGATGGTTAATAGTAATCATCTTGATAACTCGATAAATTGTTAAATTAATTTTATAGAATATTTGTAACAACCTCAAATTATTTTAAGTTCTTACCATATATCTACTTTTTTTAATTATTTATTTAATTATTTCTTTTATTACTTAAAAGATGTCTTTGATTATAATATTTGATTAATTATAGTATTTTATGACAGCTAAACATCAATACAGTCGTGTGATTTTGTGAACATTATAAGTTTTCATAACCTCGTGGAAACAAAAACTTCAGTTTTTAACAAAAAAATAGCTTTTGTTTAACTAACAAACTGTAGAATAATCAAATCATAATTTTATGTATATAATTACCACTTATGGTAAATTTATATGAAATCTGTATAATTTTGTTTTAGCAAATATAAGTAAACTAAATTAAAATTTTTTTATTCTTTTATATGATTTATTTATGGTAATAAATCTTATTGACTTATCAAATTTAGAAAAAATAAATTAAATTAACTAAATTTAAACAATTTTCTTAAATGTTAATATTAAAATTTTCAACAGTTTTATTTCAGAAGTGGAATGTTGTTATCATTTATTTTTTTTAAGTTCATATGTAGTTCATTAGTAATAATGATACATTTATACATCTCAGGATATTTTTTCGATTATTTAGAAAATCAGGTATACACATTTAACAAAAGTAAATATAAAATATAAGCAAAACCAATTTTAAATTGATTAAGTTTTTATTAATTGATTTAAAGGGATTTTGAGAGGTCTAATCTATAATTAAAAAATAAATAAAAATAAATTAGACCCCCAAAAAAATCAGAAATTGTAAAAAAAAATTAAAATATATATAGATTTCTACAAATTTTCTTTGATATCCTGTCTATTCATTTTTTCAATATTTTTCTACTATTAAGTATTTATTGTTAAAAATAAATTTTATAATGTGTGAAATTTCTTAAATGTCATAAGAATTTAATTAATTTTTTTGTAATTACAAAAAATAATTTTACTTAAATATTTATTTATTTTAACATTTCCAATAAGTGTTTTCATCAAACCGACATTTTATTAAAATACAAAATTTCAGTTGCAACATCGTCTTTAAGTTAAGGTTTTAATTTTTAATCGAGAGCGTAACGAGGTTATCAAATTTTTAACGAGACATATATAACAAATTTTTATCCAATTATATGANTAATAAGGAACCAGCAGATCAAGTAGCTTTTGGAATAAAACACCAATTTTTTTAAAATTAAACACTATCTAAAGATTTGCATCGAAGCGTTTATTTTTGATAGTGATTTTAATCACTGTCAGATATCATTATACTTGATCCAACTATGCCACGTCACCACTGTGCCGCGACCCCCCTGTGCTGGGTTTTTTTTTAAATTTTAATTCTATTGTATTATTAATTTTTAGAGGAGTTGTATGATTTACGCGATTTATTGTTGTAATTGGACAAATCAAAGCATGTCATTAAAAAAAATGTTGCTTATGGCTTTTAGTATGAATAATGGTTGTAATATAGTCATGCGATTGACACCAACAAAGTTTGTCAACATAGAAATGTTTGCCAAAGTAGATGAACTTTTCAAATTTTACTCATAAATAAATTTATTAAACAAAATATAACTTTCAGGTAATGAATGTAATATATTCAATCATTTCGCTGTTGACAAAAAAGAAGCTAGTAGAACAATCTCATTAAATTTATATTCATTTAAATAGAAAAAAATAAATTAAAAAATAAACAACTTATATTTTAATTAGAATATAAATTTAAAAACATATTTATTAAAATAATTAAAAATAATAAAAAGATAGTTAAGTAATATTATAGCTAATTATGATTGAATAAATTAAAAAAAACGTTAAACGAGGTCGCGGGACAGTATGGACGTGGCATAGTTGGGACAAGTACAGATGATATCATATATTATGAAAAATTTTTTTTTTCATAATAAAGTATATTACATTAGCTTTAATTTAAGATATATATAAAAGTGTCAGTATTTCCGAAACACTTTGAAAAATTAAGTTGAAAAAGTACTTTCTATACGCATTTTTAAGCTTTGAACCCCCCCTATATTAAGGGAAATAGTCCGATTAAAAAAAAAAGTAAATCAATTGAAAAAAGAATACAATATTATTTCTCATAAAAAAATTGTATTAATCCATTCATTTTTTAAAAAGTTATAGCATTTTAAAGTTAAAAATGTAAAAAATAAAATCGAGATTTTTCACACAATATTAGCATTCGGTAGCCATTTTTACCGTGAAGACAAAATAAAGTCCGAAATTTTTTTTTTCCTATAATAAAGTATATCACATAAGCTATAATATAAGGTATATATAAATGTGTCAGTATTTCCGGAACACTTTAAAAAGTTAAGTTGAAAAAGTTAATTTTTTGTGAAAAAGTTGTTATTTTGAATCCCCCCTGTGGGCAGGTAAAGGGTCAAATTAGTAAAAAAAATATATCAAATGATAGGTAAGGATATTATGCATCTATTAAAAAAAAAGTTAAAAGCATCGAAGCTAAAAATTGAAAAAATGATCCATACAATTTTAAATAAGTTATAGCGTTATAAATATAAAAATATAAAAAGAAATTTTTTTACAAAAATCGTCCGATTTAAAAAAAAAAAAAACGGTAGCACAGTGAGGTCGCGGCATAGTGGAGACATTGCATAGTAGGGTCCAGTATAGATTTAATCTGACAGTGATTAAAATCACTATCATAAGAAACGCTTCGATGCAAATCTGTAGATAGTGTTTAATTTTAAAAAATTGATGGATAATTGCAAAAGCAACANTTAAATATATTGATGCCTAGTCTCCCTAAATTATTTATTCTGCAAATAACAAAAAGTATTGTAATAGAAATTGTTTTTTTATGAGTTTATAGGTATTAAGTAGTACATTCCGAATATTCAAGGGAAAAAGTTAAAAACTTACCTTAGAATAATTATACCTTGCGTTTTAGAGATTTAAAGTTATAGTAACATAAGTTAAATTCGCAATTCCTATAATAACTTAAACTAATATTCGTGCACGTGTGTTTGTACTAGCGAGTAATCATGAGCACCAAATGAGGTTTTTATGTTAGGTATGATATGCTGCTATCTGTAATAGTTTTTATGAAACTCTGAATTCGTCATCTTTCCCCATTCGCCATCTTACCACGTCTTACTCTACATATAAACAACTTATTGTCGTATTGCAAAATACATTTTTAATCTATTTAATTTTAACAAAAAAAAGTGATTTTGTATAATTATTTTTAGGGGTCATTCCATGCCAAGTCAACTGAACTGTGCGCTAGTCAGTCTTAGATTTCACTATAAGTGTAAGATTTTCATTAAACAAAATCATTTATGGTAAATCCAAAATAATGTTTACTATTTTGAAAATAATTTTTATGCACTTAGATTATTATTTATGATAAGATATTGTGAAATGGCCATGTTAACATAGATGTTTAACTAAAACTAAGAAATAATAAAACAAATAATTAACTGAAATAAATACATCGAAAAATTACCACCTTGGTACACTAAAATAATACACAATATAACTGCCACTTTGGCACAATCAATAATAAATGTATAATATCAAAATAAATATGTATAAAAATATACGTTTTCAATAAATAATTAATCTCGCCAGTTTGGCTCAACAATAAATATTTAAATAATTCAGCTTAACAATAATTGTATATAAAACGTACTTCTTTCAATCTACAATAATCAACAATAAAATATCTAAAAAATCAACAATAATAAAAATCTACACAGATAATAACAAAAATACTTTTTCTTTTTTTTACTATGAAATTCTTTCAGTTATAATAAAAACACACAGACGAATAATTCAAACAAATACCAATTGACTAATAAAATTAAGGCTAACAATAAAAAATACTGTTGACTAATAAAATATTGTACATAGGAACTTTGTTGAAAAGGTAACTGTGAGTTATAAGTAACTAGCAAGTAACTATGCAAGAAGAAAATGTTGCCTATTTAAGGCCAACAGCGAACAACACAAAAACACAATATTTAAAGTGCCGATTTAACGCTCACTCTGACTAAAAATATTTTTCACTATCTAAATATATTTTTAACTAGATAATAATAATAACAAACAATATAAACGATAAATAACTCACTGAATCACAGATGAAAGGTAGTGCGCACTGGCCAGTTGCAAACACCTGAAACAAAATTATGTAACACCAATACAAAATACAATAATTAAGTAATTCTTATACACAATATATTAAAATGCACTTAAATTTCGCATCTCAATATAATAATTTAAAAAATAGGTACTTTGTTAGCAGTTCTTTTCTTATAATCAACATAAATTACACAAAAGAAAAGAAATATACTCATTTTGAATCACACACGAAAAACATATATATACCAAACCTTTTTACAAAACTTTTACTTAACATTATACTACATTGGCAGGGAAAAGAAGGGAGGATTAGTGCAGTCCAACTATTTGAGTTGAACTGCGAGTAGGTGTCGAAATTGCGGCTAGAGCGCGCCACCTATTTGATGCAAAGCTAAACAGGACTTATCTTCATAATCATTAAGATTATTTAAGTTCTGAATATTTCAATTGTAGTATCCTTTTAAACATCAAAAGTTACTTAGAAATGATTACTACGATTTCTATTTAAGTGATCTATTACAATAAAAATGCAAAAAAAAAATATTGAGCATTTCTGATAAATTTACAGTAAATAATAATTATAAAATTTCCTGATTGCATTTTAATCATAAAAATACCATTTATTTAATTCTCATAAAATTTTCTATTTAATGATGTCAATTTTAAATTTGCAAGTTGAATAAAGATCTTGGTAATAAATTCAACTTTTTTTTGTTATAAACTTTCAAAATATCTACTTTAAAGAACCAAAAAAATAGGTTAAAAATGATATTTTGCACAGATTATTTTTAACATATTAAAATCAAAATCAAAATCAGTAATAATTTAAAAACAATTTTTTTTGTTTTTAACTATTTTTTTTTATATGTAAATACTTATTTTTTAATAATTAGTTATAGTATCCAAACTAAGAAGTAATAGAAAAAGTCTAATTTCAGATTTGGAAACAGTACGAAAAGTTGATTTAGAAAAGTATATTTTTAATTCCGAAGAATGTTCCTTGTATACCAATGTATTTATTCATAAGTAAAAAAAAAGTATTGCATCAAGCCCTTCTATTTTTATACATGTTTGTCATAAATGTTACAAAATATACTATTTTTATATTTTTTTTCGTAAAAATTACAATATTAATTTCATACTATATTTAATTGCTATAAAAAATATTATTTATAAGTTATACTTTTAAATCTAAGAACTACTAATCAAAATCATTGGCGTATTTATATGCAGGCAATATAGGCAACTGCCTACAGCGGAATATTTTAAGGGGCGGCAAATACTAAAGGCCAACAAATTTATAAAAAGAGGGTTATTTTTTTATTGTTGTTATGACTTATTGACTTCCTAATAATTATCATAATCGTTATCATTTATGGTGTATTTATGATATATATATATTTTAATAGCTACAAGCAATTTATTTTATGATTTATTAATAAATATTTGCTTGAAAAATATTTTTAATTACTTTTTTTTTTTTTGTGGTAGAATTAGTAGTGTTATGACGAAAATATATAAAAATGAGACCTCTCATTCATAACGTAATGAAGAGCGGCAAATTTTTAAATGCCTATAGGCGAAAACTAAAAAAATAAGCCCCTGCCCTTAGCCTAAGAACAATATGTAATTTTTTAGAACTTAACACCTCAATGCTTCTTCATCTCGGTCGACCACTGTATTAGAGTTCAAAGTCTGATCATAATATGAATATGTATAAAATCATCGTGTGTTTATTGATAAATATCTAAAATATACAATGTATACGTATATCAAGAATCTAGAGGAATTAACCCTTCCTAAAATGTGCTCTAGCAAAGGTTCTCGGTGTACATTCTTCTTTTTACGATATATTAAATTAAGTTTCACTTGGAATTGATGATCAAAAACAAAAAACTACAAAAAATCTTCAATCGAGCAGCAAACTGGTTTCAATAGTATTGTAGTATGTAAAAATTTACACTGGTATAAAAATAAAATTATTAAAAACTAAGTACATGGTTTCCAAATTTTATAGACTAAATGAAGTAACAAGTCATTTAAATAAACTTTCATTATTACAATGTATACAAATTTATTACTAATTACAATTCAGTTATAATAATTATTTTAATCTCCTATTTTTCTACACGAACAGGTACAATCTTCAGTTACTGGATAGGGTACTTTAATCCATAAACATCGAAATTTTTCATAATTTTTTTTACTAGCATTGTTTATCTTACTTTTCTTCTGTTTAGTATTTACCATTGTTTTATTGGTAACCGTTTCTATAGCAACTGACCTTTCTCGTCTATGTTTCCTTTTTCTATTTTTAAGCCTAAATTTGAAATTATATCAAACGTATTTATTATTTTTCACTAGTTATAACTTAAAAAAACGTTTTTTAAATAGCAGCAATAATAATTAATAAAAATTCCCTATGATTTTAATGCTGAAAGAAAAACCATGTACATACACTCACCAACAATGCCATCGTAAAAGGTTTAAAGCTTTAATGGATGACGGTATGCAAGACATGCCTGGTGGCCAACTACAGCTTACTGTTTCCGAACGACCACATCGACCTTTTTTAATCCATCTAGGCCAAAATAACTTGCCGAGATCAGTCCACACAAATTCGACAGGACATGACCCTCTTCGAACTAACCAATTACGCATTAATTCTTGATATTGAATAGGAAGTTTATCGGGCAATTGAATATTGTCCGGTGATAATGGACCATCATTAACTCCAGAAGTTGAATTACTCTGAGCCTAATAATTATTCAACTGATTAATTATTTAAAAGTAAACATATTAATAAATAAAATTGATATTAAATATACATATACATTATATTTTATATCAAACAGAATTTTCGAATTTTAGTAGGAAGTTCTGTATCAATTAATATTAAACAATGATAATTTTGTAGTTTTAATCAACAAACACCATATTAACACTTATTTTATTAACTATCAAATTAATATTGGTACCTATCGTGGCTTGCTCAGGATTTTGTTTCTGGAGAGCAGATGGATATAAAAAAAAAATTTTCTCTTTCACCTCTTTTACTTTTCCCCAACCAGAAATTTTTGAGATATAAGAGAATTAACTAAGGGCGTAATACTAAGTCAATACTTACAATTGAAAGTTCGTTAGCCAATACTAGAATGATGCTAACTAAAATCTTGTTCAAGTACTAATTTAATACTGATGGTATGCACTCACTGTCATCGTAACGACAATATTTAATTATTAAAAAATAATAAAATATTAACCTAAAACGACTAAGATATTTCATAAAAACATGTATTTGAGAATTTTCGATGCGAAGCTAAGAAGATATTACTTTTACTATGATGTGTTTTATTAAAATGAATCTGAATATGTAGATTTTATAAGACTGTAGGCTAGGTATTATAGAATTTTTCATTTGCATACTAAAGTGATGCTGATACTTCTGAAGTACAGCCCTTTTTTTTATCATAATTAGTGTAAATTTGATCTCTGGGAATTTGAGATAAATCCGTTTATTTCCGTAATTATATCCTGATTAGTATTTCTTAGATTTAAAATATAATTTATGAATAATATTTTTTATAGCAATTAAATATAGTATGGAATTAATATTTATAATTTAATATTGTAAATATTAATACGGAGAAATAATAAAAAATGATAATGTAGTATATTTTAAGTATAAAATTAAAGAACTTGATTCAATACTTTATATAAAAGTTTTTTTTTTACTTATGAATAAATACATTGGTCTACAAGGAACATTCATCGGAATCAGAAATATACTTTTCTAAATCAACCTTATCACTGCTTTGAAATCTGAAATTAGACTTTTTCTATCACTTCTAAATTTTGATATTATAACTTATTACTAAAAAATTATTATTTACATAAAAAAAAATTATTAAAAACAAAAAAAAATTGGTTTTAAATAATTATTCATTTTGATTTTTAATATGTTAAAAATAATCAGTGAAAATATTATTATTAACCTATTTTGTTGATCCTTAGAAGTAGATTTTTTAAAAATTTATAAAGAAAAAAAGTTGAATTTGTTATCATGACCCTTAGCTCAACTTGCAAGTTTGAAATTCATTAAATAGAAAATTGTATGAGAATTAAAAAATTTGTATTTTTAAGTCATATGTAGTCAGGAAATTTTATAATTATTATTTACTGTAAATTTATCAAAAAAGCTCAATAATTTTTTTTGCATTTTTATTATAATAAATCACTTAAATAGAAATATTTAAGATAACATTCAAAGTAACTTTTAGTGTTTCAAAAGATTCTAAAATTGAAATATTCAGAACTGAATTAATTTTAATGATTTACTTTAAATAAAAAACCCCATTTAAAAGTTGTTAAAAAAATCTACTCAATTGATCGTATTATATAATTCGATTCAATTAAAAACATGTTATGTGTAGTTTAGTATTTACTGTTAATACCCGTAAATAATTGTTTAATGTGAGATTTAAACATATAATTAATTAAAATATTGTAGAGATATTTCAAGTGAAATATATATTTTTTATACTTGTAATACATAACAATATTTGCTTAATAATACATTTAAAGTAATTTATTATTTTTTGCGAGGTTAAAACATAGAAATTCCTAAGTGAGTTATTGTGTTTTTTTTTTAAGTACTTATGTTAGAATTTTACAATGGAGTAACATTGAGGTATTTGTTGATTACACTAAAATTATAATAAACACATTTGTTTGTGTGTGTTTATTATTTATTTTTATGTTATAATTAATAAGGATTAGGCGAATATATAGTCATTAGTGATGCTAATTAAATTTCCTAACCATAAAAATATTTTAATATTAAATAATAATAATTGTATCAGTACATAGAGTTTAAGAATTGGGTTTTAAAATTTTTGTATAGATGCAATTGAATCCTAAAAAAAGTCTAAATTCGGTTCTAATTCACTAGTCCTCATGTGTTAATGCCATTATATTCAAAAATGAATATATATATAAAAAATGTATAATCATAATAAAAATAATATTCTATAACAAAGAAATATTATGAATTTCAATTTTCAATTAAAGCAAAAAACTTACTATTATGACCATTTTAATGGATAAAAATAATTAATGGTCTGATTGATTTTACAAATGTCTGTATCAATTTAATATTTAAAATATTTCAAAAACTGAATTTAATTACAAATTAAGTATTAAAATCTTATAATATTTCAGTTTCACGAGGAATCAATTAGAATTTTGCGACAATTAGAAAAATTAAAATATTTCCTTATCAAAAATAAAAAACTGTAAACGCAACATTGAAATTATTTTTATTAAATAGTAAATATATAAAACATCAAAATTTTAGATTTAAATCCAAAAAATATTAGATATTTATCAATTTTGAGATGGTTAAAATATATTTTAACAATATTAAAATAAACTAAAAATAATGGAATAAACGAAAAAATATATATGATGATTGTTTAGTAGTCTAGCCTTACTCCGTAATATACAAATCATTTATTTAGCAATTAAGGGTATATTAATTATTAACTTTTCTATTATTATTGCTTGTTAATTAATTTAAAAACTTTTTTATTAATAAATTTTAATCAATTAACCATTTAAAGAATTTACAGGGCAAAATTAAGAAATTGTTCTTTGAATCAAATAATTTACTCATAAGCGTAACTAGAATAAATTTGTTCTTACCTAAAACATATTTTTATGTATAAAGTAAAATTACAATTATTACATTTTCTAAGATTGTGGAAGGGAGGGACATATAAATTAATTCCAAATTTTGTTGCAAGTTATTAATTTAAATAAAATCTAAATTTTCATATTAAATAAATTATAAATATCTTATTTTAATAATCCATAAATAAAATATCTAAATTTATTTTATTTAAATACCTGAGTACCTATGATCTATATATCTAACTAATGTTCTTGTCCTTTTTAGTGTTCTATTTTATAAACAAATACTTAAACTTTGTATGATCTACTGCAAATATAAAATAAGGTTTAATTTTGAGAAGACGATTGATAAATAGTTATTCAGCAATAAAAAGTAACAATTTAAAATTTTAAAGGTGCAAATCTTATGCCATAATTTATACCTATAGTTGATGGAAATAATGACCTTTTTAGTTGAGAATAACATAGAAGATATTGACATTCAAATATTTTTCATGTTGATTTTATAATCATTACACTAGATTCAATTAAATATTATGGTGTAATTGGTCATATATATATAATTTTTAATTAGTCAGCTATCAAATAGTATACAAAGAAGGTTAAATATTAACCTTGTTTTTGTCCTAAAATAGTTGATGAAATTGAAATTTTAAATTAAATTAAGTTTTTGTTGTAATTATACTATATTAATAAAATTTATATGACATTATAGAAAAAAAAAACCAGCACAGTGGGGACATGGCTAGTTGGGTCAAATATAGTTGATATCTGACAGTGATTAAAATCAGTAATATAAAAAACGCTTTGATGCAAATCTGTAGAAAGTGTTTAATTTAAAAAAATTATTGGATTATTCCAAAAGCTACATGTTCTCTTATTTCCTTATTTATACCCTGATTACAAGTTTTATGATTTATAAGTGTCATATATGAATAAATATATAAATATATAAAGGGAAATGGTTTTATTTAAAAAAAAAAGTATGTCCAATGAAAGAGGTATATAAATAGTATTTATGATAAAAAAATTGTATTGATCCATATATTTTTCAAAAAGTTATATCATTATAAAATTATTGAATCCCCCCTCTNAAAATATAAAAAAGAATTTTTTTAATAACTTTGATGTTAGTTTTTACCATAAAAATGTCTTATTGAATCCCCCCTGTGGGTAGATTTATAAATAATAATTTTTTTGATACTATTTACCGTTAGAATATTTGATTTGCTCATCCACATTTCATCGTAATCTGATCCGATGAGCCTGTTGAGTTTATCAATTTTCATATCCCTGTTTTTCGGATGTCTAGGAGCTGTCTGGAACCACGGAGTGAGTGAAGTCTTCTTCAAACCCAACACTTCTCTACCTGCCGGCGAAACCGCAACGATCAACAAGGCCACAGTTGTAAGAATCTGATACACCGAAACCAAAGTATGAGCGTATAGCATGACGTCAACAGGACTCTCGTGTGTTTTCCTTTGAATACGAACAACATTGTTAATTTGACGTGTGAATCAATGGACAATTAATATTTGTCACGAGTGTACCCGTCCGACTGTAGTCATCTCGGATACAGTTCAAAAGCAAGGTCAACGTGCGCGTGAAATGTGATTGGAATAATTGTTATGCAAATGGGGGTGTGCGTGTTATATCCTACCTAGTGTAATAAATTTTGAATAGAAACCTAAAGATGGTGGCGATACCAGGTGATGCAGTGGGGGTGGGGTGAATAGGTAGGATGAAAATTAAAAACACGAAGGAATGCGGGTTAACGTCGCTGTCGCGGACACACATAGGTACAGTTCAGAAATACCGACCCCAAAACGAATAATGGCCTGTGAGTGTGAAATATATTATGATAACACTGGATAGGTATACGGGAAAAGCGTTTATTATTCTTGTAATTTTTTTTATTGTACAAAATTCACCTATGAATGACAAATTTTGCAGACTGTTCGTCGCCAACACCTTGTCCAAAATGTGATACGCCTTAGTGTAAAATAGCTCACCCGCGCGAGCACTTCTTATCACCACAGCAACATCAATAGTACAGAAGTCTCTAGCAAGTCCATTAGGTAAGAAATCCTTAAATTGTTTTATTATATAGTAATATTAACATGGTTGTAAATCGTTAACGCAATGCCACTAGTTAATTTTAACAAGTTTATCGAATCTAAACGGATTTTGTACGTAATTTTTTATTAATGGAGAATTTTAATTCGTACCTTATAATGTCCATAAAATAAATATAATAATTTGGAAAAAATAAAATATGTAAAGTATTAGCCGAAGTATACGAAAAAAACTACACTATAATAAAACATGAAAATTACAGTTATTTTGAATTTTTCTAACTTGGATTTCATAATTTGATATTGATTGTTACGAATTTTTTATTCTACGACTCGCATCCGCAACATTCGTTGCGTTAGGTGAATTTCTTAAACAAACACACAATGTGTGTAGACATACATTTTTTGTTTCGGTTGGTTTCAATTTATTATTTCTATATGTAAATCAATATTGTTATCGGCAAACGATTGTGGAATACGATACGATAAAACGTGTATTCCTATGAAAATAAGAAAATAATAATAAATTGCAATACCTATAAAATATACAGACGACTTTGATCGTTATGACTTGTGAGTCATCTCAGTGAAATCGCAATTTAGTCCCACAAAAGTATTGGACATAGTCATCGTGAATTCACTTATTAAATGACAACAGTATCCTCGTCGTTCATGTTGATATTCCTGGAGAAAAAAAACAAAAGTTTTTTTTTTATTCGATCGGCATGCTAATTGTTTCAACGTAGCTTTTGTAAAATGTACAGGTTTTTATTTACATCCGATCGCGATGATTGCTTTTTAGCGCACTTCAAACCGTGTCCAATCGCGCACCTAATAAAGACGTATGCAGAAGAAAAAATGAATAAAAAAATATTATTTAAGTAACGTACCTGGAAGAATATTTAAAGATAAAATAGGTGTTGTTGTGAGCAGGTTAACATAAAACTGTCCACCAAGACAGTCGGATCCTGAAAACGTCCTAAAATTCCCCACTTCGTCCAATAGATCTGTTCAGTACGAGCCCTTTTACCGACAGCTACCCTCGAATAGGTAGTGCATATAATAATATTATTATTGAAGGTTAGAACGTGCTATATGACATAGATCGCTAAATAGAAACAATATAGGCTATTGTACGACTAAGAGCTCCGTTTAAGACCATCCATGCACTTACCCCCACCATTTACAAACCACTATGTAATTAGTCAACTACATAATAATATACCCCAAGAATTTTTTTTTTGTATCAGTTTTTGATGAACATTGTTTTACCATAGCGGTAAAATATCATTCTGTAAGGTTTCATTTATTGTTTTATTTCACTGTCAATCTTCGCCTTATAAGAAAAGATTTCATTAAAACAAAGGAACTCGCATACTATTAAAAAATGGTATCAATATTGCTAAAATAAAGACAATTTTTCCTCAAAGAAGACTTAATTTATGACTCTTATTTCAATTTACTGTAATTAAAAAAAAATTATTATTGTTATAGAAGTAGATAACTGTTTAAATTTTTTTTTAATGGTATAGCATGTATGAAAAAAAACATTAATTTTTCTCTAGATCGTCGAAAGTAAGCTTTGTAGTCTAGAGGAATGAAACTTTGCAATTTATACAATAATAATTATACAGTCGGGGAAATAAAATAATTTGATAGGAATAGCATATGAATAATGAGCCCCACGCAGTTAAAGCACTTAAAAAGTAGTTCATTTTATTATATTGTTATAAGAAAATCTCTTGGCTAGTTCTTTGTTAGTCGTTTTGGTGGATATTTGAATAGAACTTACACCTTTTTTTAATTTTATTCTAATAGATCAAATGTTATTTTAGTTTCTATCTTTCTATTATTTTTAAATACAAAACCAATCACCCCAATATTATATATTTAGTATAATTCCTAACATTTCATAAAATGATAAATTTTACATGTATACATTCATGTATACAAGTCGTAGGACATCACTACGATTATTTTTTACAGCGTCCTATGTCAATTACTACAGAAAATAAATTTCTTAATCGAAACTAATGGTAGGTAAACACGAATTGTCATCAAATTTTTTATTTTTCCGTGAATCGAAGAAAAATGTAATTCTGAACCGTAACAATAAGCCGGTATACATAAAATCAATAATTATCGTTTAACACTATTTTGCAATTAATACATTTTTTTTAATGCTTGAAGTTTTAAAAAGACTTAAACTTATTTACTGAATAAATGCTTAAATTTTTGTACAAAACTGAAGTAATATGTGGGTCTTAGATTTTTTCTCTTAAAATATTTTCATTAAAAAAAAAAAAAAATTAATTAATTAATTAACAAATGTAATTTTACAGGATTTGGGACAACATTGTTGACCGACCCAAATGTTTTAACATAAAGTGTAAACCATTTGTGATTTTTATGATAATTTTTCCCGACATTTCTGACTCATAATTGAACCCAATTGGTTGGGCTGACGCATTTTAGCTTTGATGCGAAGCTGAGAAGGTATTAGTTTTACTATGATGTGTGTGTTTTTTTTTTGTGTCTGTTACCATTTTTGCTCAGCTATCAACGAACTGATTTCTTTCAACGATACGTCAAAAGATCACAAATCGTATCTAGTCGAAGACATTATCCTCAAAAATTGAAAAAATTTCCCTCGTTCCCCGTAAATGGGGTAAATCTCCAAAAAAATTACAAATTTAAAAATCGCTAATTTTCGAAATTGTTTCAATTTTTTTTACTAAAAACTGCCATAACTTTTTCAAAAATTACCAAATCAATATATATTTTTTTATAGATGCATGATGCATAAATCCTGACCCTTTACTTGCCCACTGGGGGAGATTCAAAAAATTAACTTGACTTTTAAAAATGTTCCGGAAACTCTGACACTTAAATATATAACTTAAATTAAAGCTTGTGTAATATTCTTTATTGTGAAAAAAAAAAATTCGGACTTAGTTTGGTTTCATGGTGAAAATGGCTACCAAATACTATTTTTGTGTGAAAATTCTCGAAGCGTTTTTTTTATGATAGTGATTTTAATCACTCTCAGATATCAACTATACTTGATCCAACTATGCCACGTCCCCACTGTGCCGGGTTTTTTTTAAATTAGATTCTTTTCAGTCGCCAATATTTCGTGGAACGGTTCGTCTTTTATCTTTTTGTTTTCACAAGCATTTCCTTCCTCGTCTCTCCACCAATACCAACCCATTGACAATAATAATATAAAGTGTGAAATCTGTTACAATAAAATATAATAATATTTAGAAGTGACACTATCGTTGGCGGTGGTTGATTGCATACAAACGCATTCCAATCGCGTCCGACTGGGTCACGCCACAATAACTCTGATACACCGGCACTTTTTAATCGAATGAATCTGTATTGTACCGTAGGACATCGCGCATGTCCTGGAATAAATAATAGCGTATAATTCTCGGTGCCGCATACAAAGGTATGTAACACGTTCATCGGATTAAAAATAAACAACCCGTCCGACATAGTGCTAAGCCGGAAACTCGTCGGACCCGGGTGGTTGGTGCGCCCAATACAAAGCATTAACCCCTCCCCACAGGTGGGTTCCTAATTTATCTATTTCTCTTTCTTATTAGCAAGAAAAAAGAGAGAAAATCGACGGACGCCCCACCGTCTTACACGGTACAGCTCTTCTATTTGTCACACTACATCATTCTCGAGTTCAACCCCCAAACGATATGTATATAATAATATTCTTCGACACGATCGCCAATTCGTTAATAGGTTAATTTTATTGAGTTATGTTCGGCTCTAGGAAGTAGTTGAATGGAAGTACTTTGATTTATTCGTTAATTGGAAATTTCGAATAACACATGACAGTAGCATAGAAAGGAATACATTTTTGGGGACACAACCACAGAATATATTCATCAATATAATTTTTTTAAGGGAAGGATAGAATAAAATTAAGTGTAATTGAGCATGTTAAGAGTTTCTGCTAATAAAACACACGAGGAAATTTGTAAAACGTAAATGAGTTTTATAGAAATATTGCTAGATTATTTGAAATTAAATAAATTATCATAGAATAACATTTATAATTACAAATCAAGTTTTGAATTGATGTTCTTAACTAGAATTACATTTTTAAACATTTCTAGTTAATGTTTAAAATAAAACGATTTATTCGAATATATTTAATTGTATAATCTTACATGCTTCACTCATGAAGTATAAGTAATAGTGTAATAGCTCTAATTTTAAAGATTTACAAGTAACGTTTGATTACTTTTGAAAATATTTTAAGCTTATTCTAATGAAATAACATAAAAACTTCCAATCAAACTACCAAAGACATCTATTTTAAGTAGTAATAAAAGTGCATTAACCATTCTAACACGATTTAAAATAAAAAAACCGATTAGAATCAATAATACGTTAAATTTGTTAAATATTAATTAATAAGAATTGTTAGCTCGAATAGAAATTGACAAAGTTATTTTAAAACGAGCCTTTGGAACATATATTAAAATGTAGTTAATACAATTAAGAAACAAGTTAAGCGTCAATAATAATAAGTATATGATATTATAAACTTAATTCCGCGTGACTTATCGGTCAACTGTAGAAATCGTAATGTTATGAGTGCCGCAAAAACCGAGTGCGCAAAGCATACAGCCCCCAACTTAAAAAAATGTGACACACAATGTACGGTTGATAGTGGTCGTGAATTACTTAAAAGATGCGAATGCTTAAACGATTAGACTAAAACTTCACGTGGTACAGCAACAGTCTATTGCCGGACGCCTCGTGTGTTTGTCAAACATTGTTCTCGAAATTTTTTACCGTCAATCGAAATGAAACGCGCACGGGTATTCTGTACGGCAAAGAGCGCACGGTACCGTGACATGGTTTTACTGTGTCCAGCCAAAGGTCCTACGCGCGTTGTGTAGGTAAAATCAAAGTTTGAACGTTGTGCAATCTCACCCACGTTTGACATGGCGAATTATTAACAACGGATAATAAAAACAGTATCGGAACTTGTTGAGCTCACATCTTTTAAGCCGACGTCCATACGACCTGCAGGAGACTGGAACGTTGCGCAATAAACTCAACGGGAAGTGGTCCGTGTAATTTTCCGATCTTAAAAAAATCACTGGCATAAGTTACGAACTGACCATACTGGCAGCCCACGCGAATGCAAATCTTCGGCTCGTATCGTGTTGGACGTTTCTCTTAATGCGTAGTTGATGAACGTCGAGCACTGCGAAGGATACGAATGGGATCAAAACACCAGAGTGCGTATAATTCGGGGGTTTTCTAAAAAAAAAAAAATCCTCACCGACCGCATTTCCGGTCGAAATCCCTTCGGCGACGGTGGACTTTCTATGTTTTTGGAATGGACTAATATCGTAAGAGATGACGTCCGGCGAACCGCAATAGCAAATATTACATATGAATTGCTTGGATCTAGTCGGACTCATCTACCCGACACTTTACTCTCACTCGTACACGACACGCACGCTTACGGCACAGGTAGGTGTTATATTATTATTATTATAATATGTGTCGTTAGTGTCGGCGGAGGCGCCTTCCGACATAGCGGCGGATCTGTCGGAGGGGCACCCCGGGCCGGTAAAGGCGGAGCCCGGTCGACGCGGGGGCGGACGGACTGGTCGACCGGGACCGAGCGCGTACGACGTGCCGGCCGAGCGCCAGGCGCCAGACGACGGCACCGGGTCCCGGCCGGACACACGGTAACGGATGATGTTCGCGTGCGCCACACGGTCGGTAATATCATTCAACGCCTTATCGCAGTTACGAGCTTTCGACACTTCCAACTGCCAGAAATTGTCGGATCGACCCAATTCGAAAATCGTTTAGGAACAACTGAAATCGAATTACTATTATTTTATTATTATTATTGAATTGTTTTTCAACTGAAGTTATCGGTGAACTAAAATTTTTTATAAATTCTGCTTGTCGATATCGTTTTGCCGCCAACTACGAGTGAATTGTGTTTTTTTTTTTACGTTTAGTTAATACTCAAGTTAAGTGTTATACGGACCATGTACTCTGAAGAAAGTGGCCCAAAAGACCGACGATAAAGGTATGTTTTAATTTCCCAATCCAGTCGATATTCAACATTTTTCAAGTGAGAATATCTTGAAAAAAAAAAATAACCATCTTGTCATGTTGGGTGAAATTCTTGTAGCCTGTATCATTGCTAGCATTTATCGGAATCTAAGTGTTATCAATAGTTATGATGATTAATTTTCAATTAAATCTCGGCAACTTTGACTATGCGCTACGGTTTAGCAGAGAACGCGTTGATAAAAATCAAATCATAGTTAATTCATATTTTATTGAATTTCAGTTTATCTCCATGTAATCCATTTGCTTTAGTAAAAGACCGCAATGGCTGTCGAGTGTTACCTGTATCATATTGCAAGGGGCCCCAAATTTTTACGATGTGTTAACCCTAGAGAATTCTCTCACAAGTACTCATAACTGTGATTTTGACGACTGTTTGTCTTGAATTTATTTTTCACTTAATTTTTACTTTTCTAAGAAGTATATATAACCATTTATATCTACACCAGTGCATGCAATTTTTATGATAATTGCGAGATTTTCTACACAATTGGCACAAACGATGTCCAGTTTATTCTACAACGGGCTATTTAAATTATTAATAGTTTATTTCTGATAATTAATATTAACTATCCGATCACGTTTGCGCCTATAATGTAAGGAAAAAGTATTATTTTTAAATGTCTATTCGAAATGTTGAGTTCGTGTAAAATGAAATATATTCAATTCATCGATCGAACACTAAAAAGTCGGACCCATACCGTTCGCATTCCGCGCATCGCTATTGAAATAACTCTGCTTAAAAAATAATATCAACCGGAAACTTTGGTTCGCGCAGACGTGGTGCCGTCCCGAGACGAGTACGGGACATCCGGCAAAGTGTCGCACGTATAAATGGCGTGAAAGAGAATTGCGTTAGCCGCTACGCAGGTGCTCGACAATAACGACAACGATGTTGTTGTTGGTCCGAAGACAATTTCAACAATTCGCGCAACAATGGCACGTTTCGACGGATGCCGGCGACAGTACACCACGCGCATTCCATGCATACATGCTCTTGTTAAAACACACATCGTTGCACTACAATGGAGCGTTTATAGGTCGACGCCGGCCGAGAGGAGCGGTGTCTATCGCCCAACGAGTGTTGCAGAGTGGCTATGCGCGACAAGAAGAGCTGTGCTCGGTGGCCACTGAGCTTGTGAAGAAACGTGCCGCCGCCGAATTAATGTTCACGTCGTCCGTTACGACGAGGTACTCTGCTGTGATACGGTCGAGACGCGACCGGTACCATGTGCTCTCCGGCGTCAGGTACATAAAACTCTGAGCGTATCCGCACCAACTCACATACTCCTACGCAATTACGTGACCGCGTTTAATGGAGACCAATTTGTCGGGCGGCGACCAGGTAATTTCGGGTAATCCGACGCCTCGGCGGTATGGTCACGTTTTAATGATCCATTTATTGTTGTTGTAATACGAATGTGTTTTTTTTTCGCCTCGTCTGATCCTCGACACGACAAAAAAAGGCTCGCACGGAGTTATGATGTGCCCGCCACGACTCGGCCGAGTAACGTATAATTGTAGTCGAGACATTGAATGGTGGGGGGGGGGCATCTGTCAACGGGAATTATCGTTTTTTAACAGTTTTCTTTTTTTTTATTGTTGTCTTCGTGTCACCCATAAAGTACAAGACGTAAATAGATGTAATATCCTTTATTTCTGGACCGTATGATTAGCGTGAGAATGACAGGGACACGGATGAAGAACAAAAGACTCGCCGGCCATCGATGAAAGAGCAAATTGTTTGAGGGTGAACGCGATCCATACTCCGGTGCATTCTTAATAGATCGAATGTAGTTATTTCCAGTGTAGTAATCGATGAAACGATATCTAGCACAATAATCACTATTATCAGACGATTTTTTCTCTCAGTCCCAAATGATCGCGTTTCTTATTCAAACGCGATCGTTCGTAAAGCCTCAACGGTTTACTGTTCACATAGAACTAGTACTAAACGTTTACCGCAAAGGAAATCTCGATTGTCCTCAGAAAAAAATCACTTAAACACCGAAACAAAAAATCGTTCTTAGGGTTCACAACGAACTTTCCATTGAAATGTATAATAAAATTGCTTGATTTACTACGTTTCGAATATTCGATAAGATGTTGTGTTCTTAAAAAATTTATCGCAATATTATACGTTTTATATGATCATCGTTTTGATTGTTTGATAAGTTTCTCGAAATTATCGCTTCGTAGTCCTCCTGAAATAAATAATCGACCATCTTAAAAGTACGTTATTACAACACCGGCTTAATGTGACCGTACGAGGAATTGTATTTTACACATTAAAAAACTCGGATATTCCGTGACTGCGTGAAATCAAAATTATCTCTACTTTTAAATCATTCTGTAACATTTTCCAATTTACTGATTGTTGTTGACCACAGCCGCGCACAAGCCAATCCCGAAATGATCGCCATAACTCATAAATCACCCGCAGCAGACGTAATTTGAAAATCATTATTATTTCTTTACCGACACCTATACAACCGAAACCCAATGAATTGTAATAATTGTACACGTCTTCGGAGGGCCCAAGAGAAAGTATTGATACGCATTCAGCTATAATCGAAATAGATATTAACTGACTTTGCAATCGAATAATATGACCGAATTGACTGATTGATACAGTTCCAAATTTTAATTTCTACTTTATATTAAAAAAAACCCGTTTTTTTGCTGTCTCAAAACACGTCAACACTCGTGTCATGAATGTAGATAACACCGTCGTTCAGTTAAGTTAATAATAGAGATTGGCCAATTGTCCCTGGCATTACTTAACGACCATATATGTACACCCCATCCGGCCGGACTGATTGATATTGACGTGTGAATCCTAATTGAGGACCCGTCAGATTTTTAACAACTATATTAACAATGATTTCCGGCGCACCGGAGGTCCTCCTCATGACATCGTATTACGCAGGAACCCTTTTTTTAGATTAATTTTTTTTTTTTCATAAATAACGCTGACGGCCAACTAGATTATATTTAGAAAAAACAATCGGTAGGTACTTTTTTGAAGTGAAAAAAAATTCAGCGCTCATACAATGCAAATAGGTGTTTGATTGTTTGTCTTTTCATTATTCAATAAACCTGCATAATAAATAACAATTTATTGTCATTTATCACAATCGCAGAAATTCGTCAGCGTTATTTGTTTTTTTGCTTAAAAAAAAGTGTCAATTTTTTTACTGTAAATACAAATATTATAATCGTTTTACGTGTCTATGCACATTTCGGTAATTGAAAAAAAACCAAGGAAAATGTACTTCTAGAAAAAATTGTTGCTATGGCTTAATGAATCGACCTAATTTTGGATTGTAATATTCTTGAAAATAACGTAAAAAATACACACACAAACCGCTGACATCAAAACAAAGGTAGGAATCAAAACATTGTTTTCGAAATTCCAAGAAAACAAATTTTTTTTTACTTCCTTGATGCCCGTTAAAGATACTTCATAGCTGTTTTGTTTGTTTCAATCGCATCGTGCGGTTGTGAAAACATTATTTTTTGGTTAGCAATTTGTCATATCAAGTTCCCGACAAATCGAGTTCATCGTTCGAGTGGTGAAATGATAAAAAATTTCATAAGTATAGCCAATTAAAATTGAACGTCGACATTGCGTTTTCTCAAATGTTGATCGCGTCCAAAACGCGGTCAGGTTACTGATCGGCGGACACTATTTTAACTATCCAATTTATCTTCTTTACGACCACCTTCTNCGGACACTATTTTAACTATCCAATTTATCTTCTTTACGACCGCCTTCTTTGGCGCAAAGTCTGAACGAGAAAAGTAATAATAATAAGTACCGGTAGACCATTGAGCGTTTCCTCGGCTCATAAAAAGCACTCGGTGGTAATGATGTTTTTCCGACGGCAATAAAATTCGAATTAAACAAACGAGCCAGTCGGGGTTAACAGAATAATGAAAAAATAATTAAACATCTGAAGAACGTCTACGAGGAGTAGTCTCTCTCGGCTCTGTCCGGTGTACGCTCGCGGTTCCATCCGATCCATTCATGACTTCCCACGGGGCCTCGGGGTCGTTTCCATTCATGACTGGCGCGCGCGCAAACACTCACACACATTATATTATACGAGAACGCGTGGGCGACCGGTGTTACCTACGTTTACCGCGGCACACACATTACATGCATGTACATTTATAAACGTGTGTGTGTATTAATATAATAAATGTGGAAAAAATCACATAAATTCGTGTCTGGTAAAGGCGTTTTACAATACAAATGGTTTGTTGTTTTTTTCGCGGAGGGGAGGCAAATGTACACGCACAACTTTATACATTTTATTAAATACCCCACAGTGCGTTCACCTATGCGGCGTGTTTGGTCTCCGCACGGTAACGGTATACGCCGCTGAGTATTTGCGTAATGAAATCATAAAAGAAACGATATAACGACAGTATGAAGAGGTATGCGCTGCTATACAAGTCCGTGTGATAGTCGCGACTTGGCCTACTGGCCCATAGACGGCGACTCCAACAGAGGCCTCCTAATGGTCTAAAAAAATCGCCACTCCGCAAGAGCACCGCGTCCTCTCCGTAAACTAGTGTTGGAAAACGAAAATTCGCAAAGTCCAAACGCGACAGCCGCTCTGGGCATTTGTCCAACAACCTTAAGAGAGTGACGCCATCGGCTCCCGGAGACTTCAATTGTATAAAAAATCGCAACGTCCGATATAAAATAATATTATTTTTAAATGCGCACTCGAAACCGCATAGTAAACGATATGATTTTGGCATGAGTTTTTTATTTGCGGTTTAACCTTTTCTCCGAGTGTTTTAACCTTCTGCCGTAAAAAAACGAAAATAGAGACACGACTGGTGTCTGTTTGGCGGCGAGTACTCACAATACCGGCAGCCCAAATTTATGTGCGAATTATCGTATCGATTCCGCGACTATTTGCATTCTGCTGTTACATAACT